ATATATATATATATATATATATAATTTTATAATGAGATAGATAGAGGCATACACACACACACACACACACACACACACACACACACATATATTAAAAAAAAATTGGGAAGGGGCCATTTCCAGGTGGTATAGCATCTGTGTTGCATGCAGAACATCCCAGGTTCAATCCCCGGAATAGCTAGTTTAAAAAAAACAAACACAGGCAGCGGGTGATAGGAAAGAACTCCGCCTGAGACACTGGAGAGCCGCTACCGACTGAATAGACAATACTGACCTTGATGGACCAAGGGTCTGATTCAGTATAAGGCAGCTTTATACCTACATGTTTTGTGGCTCAGTGACAGAGCATCTGCTTGGCATGCAGGAAAGGAAACAGGCAGCAGGTGATGGGAAACACCTCTGCCTTGAGACCCTGGACAGCTGCTGCCTGACGAAGTAGAGAATACTGACCTTGATGGGCCAACAGTCTGAGTCAGTATAAGGCAGCTTTGTGTGTGTGTTCATATCTATGCATACATATAAATAAATACATATGCAGATATATGTGTACATAATGTATGTATGTATACAGTTCTCTAGAGAGACTGGTGAATTGCAAGTGACAATGAAACTAAAGACAATGCATCCTCCTGGACTGAATAGAGACCTAGGTTTCCTGTCTCATTACCAGTGCTGATTTCTCCATGCCTAAGACCCTCTGCTATGATTCCCATGTACACAGAGTTGAGCCTGGTTTGTCTTGGGGGTACTGCTGGACTCTCCCTTCATTCTTACATCTTTTTGTTCACTCTTGCATTTGTGTGCTAATTTGTTGCCATCCATGTATCTTACTGGCCAATTTCAGCTCTGCATATGCATCTTGGCTTTTAAGTGGCCCCTTCTAACAGCTGGCCCCCCTCCTCTTTTTTCCTCTAAGTAACCCTTGAGGAGATTTTGTTCCATTTGTCTGAAGGAGTGTACTTTGCACACGAAAGCTTGCACTTTGAATAGCACCTTGTTGTTCTTCAAGGTGCCACTGGTCTAAAAATGTATAGGGTCAGTGATCACAAAACTGTCTTCTCTTTCCCCTTTCTTTTATGCCATCATTAAAAAAAATTAATATAAGGTGCTTAGGATGGGCGTCTACAAATCATTTCTGAGGCTTCTTTTTTTAAAAAAATGTTATTTATAGCTTACCTTTCTCACAGAGACTCAAGGCAGATTACTAAAGTTGCCAACCTCAGGGGGTAACTGGAGATCTCCTGCTATTACAGCTGATCTCCAGGTGACAGAGGTTACTTGGAAGAATCAGACACATATTAATATTAGAAAAGAGCAAGATTCCAGTGAAAGGGGGGGGCAAAAGTGTATTCAGAGCTGTTCTGAATCTCTGCTGAAGAAGTAACTAAGCTTACATGTAGAAATTCCAAAAATTCTTAGTGCTACACAGGGCCTGGCTTTAGCAGATAACGGGACAGGGCGTTGCTAGGATACAGGCTGGTAAAAGAGGCCCCAGCTAGGTGAACAAGACAAACCCCACCCAGGTAACGGAAAATTACTGAAGATGATGGGGCATGGGGAAGGGGGAGGGAGCTTTGCTTGGAGTTAGGTGAGATTGTGAGGGGGTGTGGCTGATTGGTCCACCCAGCCAGAGAGGGGGGGGTATAAAGAATTTCTGTGCTGCGCCACAGCTTCAGAGAGACGACGGAGACCACCTCTAACGTCTCTCTCCATGGTTTGCAAACTATGCTTCAATAAACGCTGTACTTGAGAGAGCTTCCGTGTTGGATTTTCCTGCTTGACTCGTGTCCGGTTAATTAACACGTAACAATTTGGCGGCGGCGGTGGGATACAGCCTCTTTACGGGGGGTCTGGTGTTCGCAGTGGACCACCTCCAGGGCCCACCCGGGATTTCCCGGATTCGGAGGTTGCTCCACAGCTGAGCGCACAGTAACCCACTCGAGGGGCAAGAACCGCTTGAAGCTCTCTCAACCACAGCTGGGACGGACCTCACCAAAGGAGCGACGGAAAGCTCGGTGAGTAGACTGGTCAAGTAAGACCACTGGTATGGGGAACAAAGGATCCAAGGGGATGCGGCAAAAGGCCAAGGGGGACGCCCCGTTATAAAGGCCACTGGGACCGCACGTAGGGTTAGTGATCACTTATCCATCAGACTTTCCACGGGGGAAAGTCCTGAGGGAATGGGAAATGTTTAAAGGGTAAGGGGTACCCAAAGATGTTTCTTTGTTTGTAAGTGTGTATAAGAATGGCCAAAGATATTTGACCTTCCCTACGGCCACAGGTGGCCATCGTGGGGAATGATTAACATAAGCATTATACGTGATATGAGGCAGTACTGGCTAAACTTAAGGTCCAAGACCAGAGGTTGGGGGCGGCAGTGGCCCGCCTGGCCCCAAGTAGGGTAAGCGAGACAAGATCTGGAAAGGAGGAAGGAGAGGTCCCTGGTGCAAAGGGGGGTGGCTGTTTAGTTGAAGGTTGGGAGAAGGATGTGGAAAGGGGTGAAACGGAGTTCACGCTTTTTGGGTGAAGCGGAGTTTACGCCTTGCCCCATGGCAGGATTAAGGGGGTTACAACAGGGGAAAAGGTTTGGGGAAAACCAGGAGTGGTAGCCACTGAAGGGACCACTGCCAGGAGTAAGTGGGAGGGAACGCCACAGAAAAGCAGTGCTCAGCCAGGTGTTGTGACAGTACAACCCTCTCCCTCTCAAGAGGTATTTTCCTCGCTGGAGAAAACCAGGCATGTAGGCTGGCCTCTTTCCCCTTCGGCAGGTTGCTATGGGGGCG